TCAGGCCATGCAAGGATGTGATATCCCATCCTGTATGTGTTGTACTGAGTAAACTGACTGAAGGGTAACTATTCTACAACCTTGACAGTAGCTTACACAAAGGCAGAGAAAGGCATAGAGGCTACAGTATTTTTTACTTGCCAACTCACTTTTTGTGCAATTAAAAAGGATTAAAAACAGACAATCAATGATATGCTTTGCTGTATTTCTATTAGGATGAGAGAATGATGGAAGGTGATAGAACAGAAAAGAAAAGGACCCAATCGTGATGAAGGGAGAGGAGGAGGAGCAATATGTGCTGCATTCAACACTTACTCATGGACAGCTCTCGGGGGAGAGGAGAAAGGAGATGTTAAGCTGTCCTTATTAAAAATTAATAATTCATGACAAAGGAAATAGAGGCAGTGAATAGAGAGTGAACAAACACTCCTGAGAACAACTAACACACATCAGGTCAAGGTGGAGATTTTAAGTAGTGGCTGATTTCAGAAACTCAGTGACTTGTTTTATTTATGTTATTAATGTTATGTATGTATGTATATATCGATGCATTTATTTATGTAGTAGTCGTAGTACTCCACTCTCATCTCAAACTCTTGTTAGTAGTACCCTAGTCTTGACATTCTTCTGTAGGGGGATAAAAAAAACACTCATTTGTTTGTATTTCTTACGAATCATAGTCATCGTAGGCGGGGCAAAGCAAAGGCTGCAGTTTTGGTGTTTCCTCAAAAAAGTGACAGCTGGAATTGTTGTGGTGGAACATTTGCATGCAGGAAGGTGAGCACTGTCATTAAAACAAATAATACACAACAACAAAAAACAAACAAGCAGAGCTGCTGCCTTACTGCACGATCCAAATCACTGGCAAAACTTCAGTTTCAGGTTCATTTTCAGTGTGGTAGGTTGCTGAACGGAGGAGGCTGCTGTTGTTTCTGGTAGCATAGGAAACTGTAGCACCCGGATCATTAAGAGGGACAGAATGCCAACTAAGATACTCAGCCAATGACAGGCTTATACCCACAACCTACATCCGGTCAGTCAGATTAGTAGTACCCCTTCCCCTAGTGTATGTTTCGTCAGGTTGGCGACACAATAATGTAACACAAATCTGAAATGGTAATGCTGATAAAAAATACAAATAAAAAAAAAAGACTGTTGCTATGACTTTTCACTTTGTAGACACCTCCCTTAAAACATGACAAACCACAGAGCAGTACAGTGTTCTTGTGCCTGATAAGCCTTCACACTGAGTTACACCAACTGAGTTCCTGGATAAAACTTTATCATTTCACCAGCACCAAAGTAACTTGCCTCCACTAACACAGCTATAAGTTCTTGTTTTAATACAGTGCTTAAAATAATTACAGTTTATTTCACCCCTGCATATTTCCCATTGGTCTGGCTATTGTGGCTCTATGGGTCATACTAACTTTGCACTCTTTACCTCCACTGCAGAGATATTTAATTTATGTGAATCATTTAACCATTTTAAATGTCTTTTTTCAAGCCTAAAGTAAACATAGAAAGTGGCAGCCTGAAAGACCCTTTGTGTTAACTGCATCAGAGTGCAACATACATTTCTTTGTATATGTGTCTGAGGCTGAGGATAGCTTTTCACTTGTTCTAATAGGTTATAATGCCACTATAGCCATAGCTGTCAAGTCTCCCGTTTTGGTCAGGAAACTCCCGTATTATAATAATTAAAAAAAAAAAAAACATTCCCCTGCCTCTCCAAACTGAACTCCATACTCTGGAGAGAGATAGATGGATGTGACGAAGGAGAAGGCATTCCTGCCAAAAAACAAGGAAGTTGTGTAAATATCTCAAAAAATGGGACAGCAAATTTACTTTCTTAAAGAGTAGGATGATGGGGCACAGTCACGCTTTCTGTAAGATTTGTAAATGCGATTTTAGTGTCTTCAACAAGTGCATATCTGAGATGTTCCTGGACTCTGCTATCGCACGAAAAATACTCAGCAAGAAAAACTAAGGTTACACAACTAATCAAAGGTAAGTTGAGTCAAATTATGTGCATTTTGTATGCGTATGCCCATTTGACAATGTCCCCCATGCATATTGTAGGCTAATTGTTAGCTAACGTTAATTACTGGGCACTCACACACTATTATAGTATATTTAGTATATTACGCAGCAGTTATATAATTAGATCATTTTTTGACAGTATGAGAGTATAGGCTGTAGCGTGCCTAAAATGTTGCCACTAATGCATTTTTTTTTTTTACTCTTATGCTGTCGTAAATCTATGAGAATATTCTATGAAGCAGTGCTTCGGAAGATGTTCTCCTCCTTTCCCCTCGACCATCCACTCCTGAGGGACATCAAAGTGCTGGACCCTGCTGCTCACCTCGACATTACTCCAGGGACAGGTAGATGTTAGAGTCAGTTCCCCACTGATAGAATGACTGAATTAATGAAATATTGCATGGTTTAGATCTGCAATGTTCAAACACTTGTGTTATTTTACAGTGGAAAGGCTAGGGGCCCTGTTCCCTCAGCTGGGCTTGAGTAAGGATCGGCTGAGAGAGGAATTCATTGACTACCAGGTGACAGAGAGCAAGCAACTCCCCCAGGAAAACAAAATTGACAGATTGTGGGGCCTGGTTGGGAAGGATGTGATGTTCAGTGAGCTGCCAAGACAAGTAAATGCTTTACTATGCATTCCATACAGCAATGCCAGTTCTGAAAATGTGTTTAGTATGGTGAGAAAGATTGTTCTAGAGAATCGGATGTCATTAGATAACAGCACTGCTTGTGCTTTACTGTCATGTAAAATCAACCACTTTGGCCCAGCCCACAAATTTAGGCTGTATTATAACGTAAGAATGTTCACAACATTTCAATGTCAACAAAGGGAGGTCTATCAGATTCTGATCACCTATCTGTAGTTAGTAAATGGTTGAAAAGACCAGAATGCACCACTGGGCATGGATGCACTTGCTTACCCATGGCCCAGCATGCTCCTGTATGAATTTCCCCCAGTGGAAATGACACTGCCTGCTATGGAGAGGGTGTGTCAGCAGGGCCTGTCCATGATCCTTGTTGCTCCTTGGCGGCCAGCAAAGTCATGGTACACAGAGATAATCAGTCTGCTGGCAGCGAGACCCTGGAGGCTCCCGGTTCGCAGGAATCATCTCTCTCAAGCAAGAGGAGAGGTGATTCACCCACCCTCAGAACTGTGGCAGCTGCATGCCTACCTGTTGAAAGGTCCAATTTAGGGCCTGCCCCCTGAAGCGGTGGCAACAATTCAGAGTGCACGGGCCTCATCAACTTGTGGCCTGTATGCATATAAATGGCGGGTGTTTGAGCAGTAGTGCCGGAACTGTAATGTTCTCCCATTGCAGTGCACTATTGTGGACATTTTGACATTTCATCAAGAGCTGCTGGATAAGGGTCTCTCCTTCTCCACAATTAAAGTTTATTTGGCAGCTATATCTGCCTGCCACGTTGGTTTAGATGGTATGACGCCATGCGCTCATCCTCATGCCATGCACTTCTTAAAAGGGGTACACCGGCTGAGGCGGTTAGATCCAGCGTCCCTTCATGGGATCTGTCACTGGCGCTTGAGGCCTTTTGTGGACCTCCATTTGAACCTATTGAGTCTGTTGATATGAAATTTCTTTCATACAAGACTGCTTTGCTTCTCGCTTTATGCTCTGCAAAGCAAGTAGGCGACCATCATGTCTTGTTGGTGCATCCCTCTTTTGCCCAGTTCTCCTGTGATGGCTCCAAGATTACATTACGCCCAAATGTGGTGTATTTACCAAAGGTCATCCCTGCAGGCTACAGATCTATTTCCTTCGAGCTCTTGAGCTTTCGCCCCCCTCCTTTTGCATTTGAGGAGCAGAGGAGGTTGCATTCATTTTGTCCTGTGCGTGCTCTACGCACCTATATTGACCGCACTCAGAGTGTGCATTCATGTGCGCATTTATCTGTCTGTTTTGCTAATCCAGCCAGAGGTAAGGCCCTGTCCAAACACCGGCTTTCTCACTAGATTGTGGAGGCTATTCCCCTGTCCTACGGCAGCAGAAGCCTCCATTTGCCCCACAGTGTGAGGGTACATTCTACGAGGCGCATGGCAACATCATGGGCCCTATTGAAAGGGGAACCTATAAGTGATGCTTGTGCTGCAGCTAGCTGGTCATCTCCGTACACTTTTGTGGGGTTTTATCGTTCAGACGTGACAGCTCCTTCGGTGGTGCAGTCTGTCCTTTCTGTTGGGTCTACCATGCACAAGAGTGCTGCAGGCTAGACTCCAGTTCGGTAGCTGCTCTGCAGGGCGTGTATACATGTCCCATACTATATGTGCTGTACTGAATGAATCGACGAAAAGGGAACGAAATGTTACGTCTATAACTTCTGTTCCCTGAAGGAGAGGAAAGAGGTACAAACACTTGTTTGCCCCACAGCACAGCCGGTCTCGTTGAAGAGCGGCTATCAAACTTAGGGATGACTGTGATGACAGGTATTTATATGTGCAGGCAGGGATGAATAGAGGTGTCTTCAGTCAGGTCATGCGGGGGTGTGATATCCCATACTACATGTGTTGTACCTCGTTCCTCTCCTTCAGGGAACAGAAGTTATAGACATAACATTTCGTTATTGCTGGACATAAAAAGAGCAAAATATACAGTCAATGCCATGTCGCATCTTTGTAGATCCACACATTCTAGAGGAAGCAGCGTGATTACAATTCATTTGCGAGGGACCTCTTTATGGAAAAAAATACTATGCAACTATGCATAAAGAGGAGTTTTTAGGTGTTAAGCCTTCAACAGGAAAAGGACTTTAATGAATGTCACAATGAGAATCCAAGAAAAAAAATTGTGGAAAGATCATGATGATGACAAAACCTTCACAAAGTAGACAAGATGTCTGACAGACGAGCCAACTCTATCACCTCTATAGCCAGTTAATTCACAGGTAACACCTCAAAACTCCTCAATGCTGATTTGATGGCTGATGTCTTCCTGCAGTATTACCTGTTGTTCTGATTATCGTTGGTGCCTCCATTCAGGTATAGCAGGACCCGTTTTTCCAAGTAGGTCTCGATGTCCTCACCCTCGCTGCAGTTGCCATCTCCAGTGAGCAGATCTATTATCTGTGGGTTCAGCAGAACTGCCTCAAAGTCCCCTTCCATTAAGGATTCCAGCAGAGGGCCCGCCTCTGGAAAAACATATAAAGCAAAATGACCTTCAGTACGTGAATTGTTAATGGTCAGTACTTACTTAAGTTAGCAGTACTCAAAGAGATGTACAACGTGTCTCATTCACTGCAAGGTGCTCAGTTGCCATCAGGAAGAACTTGGGGTTCACCGTCTTGCGGACACTTGGGCACGGAAACAATTAGTGGACAATCCGCTCTACCACCTGAACCACAGTCAGAAATGAACTCATTCTATAGCGCAATTTAAACAGATGGACTGCATTTAAAGAATAAAATCTGCAGTTTATATCAGTGAAAGTAATTATGTAGCTAATTTACCCCGAGGTAGCTTAACTCCAAGTACCATGCTCGTGGCTGGCATATAGCACAGAAATCACATGACTCAGAGGCTTGGCTATACAACAGTCTGGAAAACAAGTACAAATGAACAACCACTAAACTTTCCCAGACTCAACTATTAAAACTCTAGTTTAGACATTTCTGTAGTTTGTTTTGCAACTTATACACACCACTTTTCAAATCACAACTTGGAAAACAGACTAAACCCCTGAGAGAAATGTGACAAACTCCAAACTCTGAATGTCCAAGAAATGCTGTGCAATAAAGGAAAAGTCAAATACAAAAAAAAAATGTTTGCAGAGATTTTCCTTTTGTTTTCAACCACTGAAACTATTATTCAAGTCTTCAAAATTTAGTTTCAGCTTGCAAAACCTTTTTTATTAGAGTTCAAGCTTCAAAAGGCTGTTTCAATGTTTTTAATGTTCAGTTTCCAAACATGACATGATGTTCAACTAATTGCAAATTTTGTACTAAATAAATGAACAAGACAAGACAAGACAAGATAAAATTTGGGGAAAAAAGTAGAAGAAATATCTCAAAAGTTGTGTAAGGAGTTATTTAGAGATGGAGTCAATGAACAGGAACAAGATATACAAGATGACCAAAAGCCTACATTTTCACAATATAAGGCAGCTGGGCTTTACAGTAGACAGATTTACAGACGAAAGCATTTTGCTTCAATGAAACCTGCTGACCCCAAGTCCAGGGCCAGCAGGTCTCAAAGGCAGGTCATCATTAAAAAA